TCAATTCCTCCCAGCCGGTCCGCCGGCTGATGGTTGAGGGCGCCTTGAACGAGGGGCAACATATGCGGCCATTCGTCAGCTTCATTTCGCTGAGCAGCGCCTTCACGGCGCGCAGCACTAGTCGGTTGACTACTCCTACCGCCCCTTTCGTCCATGGACTGTAGGCTGTCGTGATATGATGGTGGGCACCCACCAACTTCCGCACCTTCTCCATCACTTCGTTCTTGAAGTGAGAACCGCCATCTGACACCCATGTGTCAACGCAGCCGAACGTGGTAAACAGGCCCACACGAACGCTTCGACGTCCGTGGAAAGCGTCTTCCTCAGAAACTTGTCGGACACCGACTTAGTCGTCGCTGCGATGCGACGGTGGCCGCTGGCTCCTTGGTGAGCGATCACACAAATCCGCTGCTGTAGATCAACAGCACCGTCTGGGTCCACGTAAAATAGGAGTCATCGTCCCAATCCATGGTTGAACGTTGGATACCGCTGATCCTCGCGGCTGTCGGCCACTCGAAATCCACTTGTTGCAGACGCGACACCACATCGATCAACTTGCGAACATTCGCAACTGGTTGATCCGCCGGAGCCGAACCCCATCGGCTTAGGAGGTCGCCCCATACGTTCGCGTCACCCGAGACGCACTCAATGGTGTACGGGAAGGTCGACATCAACAGCGACCATCGCTGCAGCTTGTCGGCCTGGTACTTGGCCATGTTGGCGTTCGAGCCACTTGGGTTGAAGATGTACACCAGGTTGCGGTGATCTGTAAACAGACGGAAACCACCCGGGCGTACGACCAGGTAGTCGAGTCTCTTGCACGACTCGACCACGGCATAGGCATCCTTCTCGACAATGGGCCAGCGCGCACTCGCGCCAGAAAATGACCCGCTGATGAACCCAAGCGGCTGGTGCCGCTGGTCTTCGAGAGGCAAGTCGAGGTCCGCTGGCGGTACTTGTGTGTCGACCGCACCCTAAAACAGGTCACTGGCGTCCGTGAAGACGCAGACCGTCATGTCTTCTCGCGGGTGCGACAGGGGTACCACATGCGCCAACGCGTGTTTCACCTCGTTGAAACACTTGAGATGATCGGACGACCATCCCACGGCAGGGAGTGCAACACGCACTAACGCCGTCTTCTTGCAGCTTCCGGCTGTTTTGGTGGCCACGTCGAGCAGAAGTCGCAACGGATCCACCAGCTGATTGTAGCCGGGGATGCTTGCACGCATCCAGTTGGTGGCACACACAAACTGCTGGAGGTCGGCCACGGTCGTCGGCGGCGACAAATCCACAAGTCCTTGAATTCGGCTTGGGGAATGGGTGATTCCATCGGCCGAAATCACCTT